GGAAGTGGCTTTAGCTTTTAAGTGCAGTGCTTTAACCCACTGCGCCACTAGGGAGGGCCCTATAATTAATTTTTAAGATTCATTTATCCATGCACTGTTTCATTCAAGCATTTATTCAAGCATTCATACATTTATTCATTTTATTCAAGCATTCATGCATTTATTTATTCCAGAACTGGGGTACAGGCCAAAGGTGCTGGAGGTAAGAGGATTCACCAGAGATAGAAGGGGGAGCAGAACAGGCAGATTGACTGAAATACACTACCGAAGGGAGCAGCAGGCAATACAGGAGAGGTCTGCTGTGCCATGTGGGTCAGCTCCCTGGCTGGGGCTCAAACACATGCTGCAGTGGATGTGGACAGCTTCATAGTGCTGTGCTCTAACCTGTTGTACCACCAGGGAGGACCTAAGATTTATTTTTTAATACATTTAAAAAACTTAAAGCAAAAAGAATAATCAGTTAATTTGCTCAGCCAAAGTCCCACTAATTAAGTTTTTAAAATGTACTGGCTTTAGTCAATGATTCCTGAATCAGGCACTATTCTACATAGCTGACAGAAAAGACTTAGAGAAGCTATACAAAATCTATGACTTACAGACAGAAGGGAGTGAACAAACATGTTATACCATGCTTAAAGAAAAGAATGAGTGGCCCTCCCTGGTGGCGCAGCGGGTTAAAGCACTGCACTGAGAAACTAAAGCCACTTCCGCATGAGTTCAATCCCCGCCTGCCCCGGAGGTGACCACATGGCGTGGCAGACCTCTCCTGACCCGCCCGCTGCTCCCCTCAGCAGTGTACTTCATCGATCTGCCTGTTCTGCTTCCCGCTCTGTCTCTGGTGAATCCTCTCACCCTCCGCATCTCTGGCCTGTACCCCAGTTCTGTATGAATAAATAAATAAATCTTAAAAAAAAAAAAAGAAAAGAATGAGTTGGTTATTGCAGGCTCGATTCCTAATTGGCTGGATTAAGATTCCATTTCTGGGAGAGGCCAAAGCTGTGTTAATTTTCATCTTGAGGATGTGGGTTTAGCATTGGCCATTCCATTTTGCACCCTCCTCTTTTTTTTTGACAATCAAATGCATTTTTTAAAGCTTTATTTATTTATGCATACAAGAGCTGGGGTATAAGACAGAGGTGCAGGGGGGTGAGAGGATTCACTAGAGACAGCGTGGGGAGCAGAATAGGCAGATTGACAAAGTGCACTGCTGAGGGGAGCAGCAGGTGAGACAGAAGTCTGCTGTGCCATGTGGGTCAGCTGGCCCTGGCAGGAGATTAAACTAAGGCCACAGTGGTTGTTGATAGCTTGATTGCACTGAGACTTTAACCCCTTTGACACCAGGGAGGCCCGGTCCATTTTTTTCTTTTTTTTAAGCAGATTGATTTTAAGTTTACAGTACTATATAAATTTCAGTGTCACACCCTGATATATGCATATACCTCACCACTATCACCAGCAAGGCCCTGGTATCATTCATTGCTATCAAATTAACCAACTCTAGTTAGTCCCTCCACTCCTCTCTCAGCTCTCCTCGGAAAACCACTAAGTTTTGTTGTCAGAGTCTAAAAACTGTTTTTTTGTTGTACTTTGTTCACTTCTTTGCTTTGTTTTCTTATATTTCCATGTAGGAATGATACCACCCAGTGTTTGTCTTTCTCTTTCTGTCTGACTTCACTTAGCATCATACCCTCCAGTTTCATCCATATTGTTCCAAAAAATAAGGATTCCATCTTTTTTTAATCTCAGCTGAGACATTTAAAAAAGTGACATTATGTCAACTTTCAAACGCTATAAAAGGATGTTACTTCAAAGACCTTGGCAGCACTGTCCCATAGAGCTCTGTATATGAGTTACCCAAATGAGGTAGCCACAGCTGTATGTAGTTCTTAAGCACTTGAAATGTGGCCAGTACAACTAAGTATAACTTTTCTACTTTAATTCATTTAAATTTGAATAGCCACAAATGTGGTTAGTGCCTATTGCGGTGGATCTTGACGTTCTGGAGGGCGAGAGTGAGATCAAAGTAAAGGGTTAGAAGTGGAGGAGTCAACCCTGTGCTGGCTTCTCTATTCTCCCAACGTCCTCTCTTATCTGCATGCTTGGTACCTCAGGAGGCTGACTCTGCATGGGGTGCCATTGGGGCTTCCTCCCTTTCTGGCTTCCAGATGAGTTTAGCCACTGGTAACTATCTCTTGAGTAGATGCCTAGGAACAGAATTACTGGCAGTTGTTCAGCATCTGAGAAACTGCCAAACTACTTTCCAAATTAATTGCCCTATTTTACATTCCCACTAGTAAGGCTTTAAGGTTGCCATTCTTCCTAACATTTGTTATCATCAGTTCTATTTATTATGTGTGTGAAGTGGCATCTGATGGTCTTGATTTGTAGTTCCCTAATGACTAGTGATGTTGAACACCTGTTCACATGCTTGTTAACCATTCAAATATCTTTGGGAAGGACCCTCCCTGGTGGTGCAGTGGGTTAAGACTCAGCACTGCAAGCTAGCCGCAGCTGCTTCAGTGTAAGTTCTGTCCCCGGCCCTGGAGGTGACCCGCATGGTGCAGCACATCTCTCCTGTCTCGCCTGCTGCTCCCCTCAGCAGTGTATTTTGTCCACCTGCTTGTTCCGCTCTCTATCTGTCTCTGGTGAATCCTCTCCCCACCCTTTACCTCTGGTCTGTATCCCAGTTCTATATGCATAAATAAATACATCTTTAAAAAAAAAAATCTTTGGGAAAATATCTATTCAAATTCTTTGCATGTTTTAAAATTGGGATATTTATCTTTTTATTATGTGTTGGAAGAGTTCTCTATATGAGGTTCTTTCAGACTTGCAAATCTTTTGTCTTCTTTGGAATGTCTTTTTGCTTTTTTTGATTCTTTTAGACAAGTCAGTTTTGATTTTTAAAATATTTATTTTTTTAAAGTTTTGCATAATAAAAATAGGATGTAGGTAGAGGCAGGGGAGAGGATTCACCAGAGACAGAGTGGGGGACAGAACAGAACAGGGCCTATTGAAATATACTGCTATGGGGAGCAGAGAGTGAGACAGGTGATGTGGGTTAGCTCCCTGGCTGGGAAACAAACTCAGGCCATTGTGGTAGCACTGAGACTTAACCAACCCCTTAGGCCACTGGGGAGACCCTGGCATGTCAATTTTAATTTTGAAGTCTAAGTTAACCACTTTTGCTTTTATTGTTTGTACTTTTGGTGTCATCGTAGAAATCATTGCCTGACTGAAGAAGACTTATACATATGTTTTCTTTGAAGAATTTTATTATTTTAGCTCTTAAATTTAAGTTTTGTGTGTGTGTGTGTATGATGTGAGTTAGGGAAAAAGCCCCCACTTTACAGATCAGGAAATTCAGGTACCAAATGGCTTGCTCAAGACTCGAGAGCTAGTCAACAAAGTAGCCAGAAGTTGACTCAAACTCTCAGACTCCATAGCCAGCCCCCAGCCTTTGCATGCTGTCAGAGTCAGAATTCAAGTTTAGCCCCTGGTTAGCTGCAAATGCTGCCTGAAACTGGTTTCCTCATCTGTAAAAATATGACATTGGCTTGCATTGTCTTAAACAGCCCTCCAGCTTTAATTTGCTGTTATTTCAAAATGGTACAATTCCCATGGTCTTCTCAATGCTGGTTTCTGTCCCAGGAGTATAAATGTACTATGGCACTGTGTGGCGACTGAAAACAGTGTCCTCAAGGCCTCCCCCAAGCCCTCAGGGTGTATGCTGGCACAGAGGAGCTGTGGGAAGCTTTGTTTATTGTCTTCATTATCTAGAAATGAAAAGCAGGGATAGGAGAATCCTCTAGAGTCCCCTACCCTCCTTCCTAGGAAAGAACACAAACAGCCTCATTAGTCACCTGCTCAGGTAGCACATCCATACATGTGGCTGTTTTTTTGCAAAAGAAATCCCTAAAGCCCCTTGCTTTTCTGAGCTGAAGATGATGGACTTAGAATGGTAGTCCAGAGCCTCTCTGGGGACCTGGGCATGTTGTCCTGGGTGGTTCCTATGGCTACCAGCCAAACACTATAGAGGGAACAGGTCTTTGATATGAGGGGAGAAACGATTCTCCTCCCGTAAACCACGTTCTGTTCCCCTGTTGGGCACGATGATCACTATTGCAAAGACTATCTGCCCATATGCTAGACTTCCTGTGGTCCAGAATGTCCTGCTGGAATTTTGTCACGTGATGTACTGCATAAAGTGGGAAGGCCTACTTAGCATTAAGAGTAACTGAATCAGGCTCAGAGTCTGGGATCTGGACCGTAAGGGGCTCTCCGTTCGTGTCTTGCTGAGGTAAGGACTTGACATTGAAAACAGAGTGCGGCAGGAGAGCAAGAATTTTGTCAGATAAAAAGGATGGGAACATTTTCTGAGCAGAGAAGCATCCACGTGGGTACCTGCTGAAGGGCTGAGAAGGAAGGCATTTAAGTGAGCACAGAGAGCAGGTCAAGGCTAAGGTGTCTCTGCCTTGTATCCCTTGATTGGTTGAGGCCTGCTTGGACTACTTAGTCCATCTTCCCAGAACAGCTTTCGCCTGTTACTTCGATTTTTGTGTGGTTTTCCGAACATCCAGTTTTCACCAGGTTAGGGTATCCTGACCCTGACTAGTTGTCCGCCTCATTCATAACTTACACTGGGCTTCAGCCACTCTCGCTAAACTAAAATTTCTAGGGAACTGGCATGTATCATTGTGAAGAGATTTATTTTCATTCATCATTGTTCATTTTTTATACAATACTATTTTTCTCCTCATGTAGTCCCTTAGTTCTCTCACCACCCTATCACCCATGTTCTATCACTAGAGTCCCTTGTGCTCTTGTCTCTTGTTTTGACCCCTCTCTTCCCCCTCCCTAGTTGTGAAGATTTAAAAAGATTTATTTATTTATATAGAACTGGGGTACAGGAGGTGCAGGAGTGGTGAGAGGATTCACTATAGATCGAGAGGGGAGCAGAACAGTGCTGAGGGGAGCAGTGGGAGGCTCAGGAGAGGTCTGCCACACCACGTGGTCACCTCCCCAGCTGGGGGTAGGACACGGGGTGAAGTGGCTGCGGTGAGCTCCATAGTGCTGCTTTAACCTGCTGCGCCACGAGGGAGGGCTCGAGGTTTTATCCAGTGTAGCAAATCAAGTTTTTGACCAAGTCATAAAAATAAGGTATAGAAGGGGACCACCTCTAAGTAAACACCTCCAAGGCTGGGAAACACCTTTGTGACTCTTAAGAGAAAACTAAATGAGAACTAAGAAAAAAACATTTCCTGCCTCTTGATTGTTTTCTCCAAACTGGGCTGTCATGCTACCAGGAGACCCGATTGAGATTCTTTTCAAGGACAGTACTGGAACAATTTGGTAAAGTCTGAATTCTTTGTAGACAATAATATTAAATCTCCTGAGTGTGCTCATTGTATTATCATTATGTAAAAATAACACCCTTTCCTAGAAGATGCTCTGTGGACCTGTGTGTGCAGAGAAGAATAAAAAAAATTAAAAAAAAAAAAAATAAAAGCAGTAAGGGAAAATGTAAATTCTGGGTGTTTCTTGGCAAAAGGCTGTATTGCACTTCACTATGTTGAACTTTTCTGAATGACAGAAACCTTTCTTTTTAAAATGGAAAAATTGCACTTATGGTTTTAATATAAAACTCATTTTCTGGCAAGAAGGTAAATCTGAATGTTTGATGGGTGCATACCTACATATCAAACTCAAATTATTTAGGAAGCAAACATTCACTCATTGAAAATACACAGAAGCTTGGCTTGCAACCACATTTATTAAAAAACAAACAAACAAACAAAAAAACAAAAAACTCATATAGCAGTTTCCTTGTTTAAAGGTTGAAGATTTACTCCCACACAGTATTCTTTCCTTTTCATCAAATTCCCCTCAGCGTAGACTCCCAGCTGTGGAGATGCCTCATTCAACCAAACCCAACACACCTCAGTGAGTGGTGAAGTAGCACGATGTGAGCCAAGCCCATTTTTTCCATCCAGAAGGTTCTGAGCCAAGCCCATTTTTTTCCATCCAGAAGGTTCTGGAGTTGACAGAACTGGAGAAACGAGACACCAGAACACCTTAGCAGCCCCAAAGCAATCCAGTTTGTCTGTGAGAGTTTGTACTTCACCTTTTCTTCACAAACTTTTTTCTGGAAGCATTGGGATTTAACCGTCTCCTCCCAGCTCCCAAGGTCTTATCTCGGACTTGCAACATAGCTGATCGGCTAGATATATCATTCTCAACAAAGGGAGAAACCCCAGCTATGTAGTCAGGGGCAAAAACATCAGTCTTCTGCCTGGCCTTTTGTGAGAGCCGCAGCTGAGGAAATCGCTGGTCTTCAGTCAGATGGGGGTTGATGGCATATTTACCCCCTTTGGGAGTAGGAAGGGAATACTGCAAATAAGACCAGAAAGACCATTAGAACATGGCTCCATGTCCTCATACCTTCGGAAGCTGCTAATGTAAACCTTACTTGGCAACCCTGGATGCAGTAAGGTGCCATGGCGTCAATCACCCACTGCTACTACAAGATAATAGCATGGCTATCCTACCAGATGACTGTCCTAACAGATTCTTGCTTCAACTCAGATGAAAAACCCAGGAGCAATTTGACTATACACCTTCAGAAGCAAACAGAATAACCAGAATCGTAAGAATCATCTCCCCTCTGACAAAAAAAAGCACTAAGGATACAGAACAACTGAGACTGTTACTGCCAAAATGCATAAGTTGAATCCAACCATGAGGAAAGAGCAGGCAAACCTAAACCAAGAGGCATTCTACAGCATAACCGGCTCAAATTCTTCAAAGATTAAGGTCACAAAAGGCAAAAGATATGAGAAACTGCTTAGGTTTAAAAGAGAATAAAAAGGGGAGGGGAGAGTAAAAGGGAATAGAGAGACAGGACAATTAAATGCCATGTTATTCTAGACTAGTTCTTAAACCAAAAATCCTCCTCTATAAAGGAAGTTTTCTAACACAAGAGATTAGGGAGTAGTACTGTAACAATGTTAACTGTTACTTCTTGATTTTGAAAATTATACTGTAGTTTCATAAGACAAGGTCTTTCAGGGAATAAACACTAAAGTATATCTGGGCAAAGAAGCATCACATATGTGTAACTCGTTCCTAAACTCAGATTTAGGGAAAAAAATAAACATAGCATGCAAACATGATTGGATTAACACTGGGAAGTTGAAGTAAAGAGTGAATAGGAATTATCTGTCATATCTGCAACTCTTCCATATATTTATACCCTGTCCATTTTGACTGTGTTGCTAATGTTTTGCTCTCCCAACCTGGCCAGGAGCTGAGCCACTCACCCGCAGGCCTCGAGGATTCAGCACCTTGGGGTTGCGGGAGAAGTGCATGTGCATCGTGCCATCCTCGCTGACGGTCACAGACACTTTCTTCAGGGTCTTGTTGCCGCAATGTGAACAGAATATCCGGCTCATATCAGATGTTGTCCTGGAGACACAAGAGGAGACGCTCTGTACTGGAACCACCAGCAGCAAAGTTCATCCCCAGAGTACATGGGAGCCAAAGACCTCAGGGAGGAAACGACCAGAAAGGGGGACTCTCGCAGAGAATCAATGATCTTACCATCACTGTACTTCCTCCAGGGGCAGATCATTATAGCTCTAAATACCCTGTCCCTAAATGTCAGCCTGGGCATTAAGCCAGAAGGTGGCCCTGGAGGTGCTAAGAGTTTAATAGTGATTTAGACAGGAAGCACTATAAAGGCTTCTATGGTTAAATGGGCTAGGGGTGAAGGTAAGACTCTGATGTGTCCAATAGTGGACCTGGACACTATTGTTCCTGCTGAGGAGCAAGCAGAAGCCTTAGTGTCTGTAGTGTCTGTCCCTTAGCAACAGTGGTTAGAAGAGCTGTGAGAAACTGCAGCTGCATCCTCTACCTGCATGTCTGAGTGAATGAACATCTCTCACTGGGTACTCAGAACAAAGTGCCTGGTGCCACGAACAATGTGCCCTTCAGATGAATCGCCCAAGAACCAAGAGTGTTTCTGAATTTTACTGTGGAAAACTGAAATAAGAGTTTTTGTAATAAATGACTAGGGAAATGAGGTTTCATGATTCAAGGAGTTTTACTGTCATGAGAGTGGTGTATTATGTGCTAAGATTCCAAAGAAGGCAGAGGCAGCCCTGGAGGTGGCCCTTTCTCGGCCACAGGCCGACTTGTAGTTTATTAATGGTAGGGTAGGGCCTGAATCACAAGTGACTGTTTTTAAGCCTGCAGGGGAGCAGACTCCATTCAAGCAACTCTATCCTCAGAGAATAGCCTGGGGGCAAGGGAGTGACATCTTGCTGCTTCAGAAATCTTCCACATATACACAGCAATAGGGGCTCCACTAAATGACCAATATGCCAGCCACTAAATATCCACTGAATCTGTGGAATGGCTGAAAGTCACCACAATGGAAGCCCCCCATCAAGCTACAGAAGTGTCTTTTCCATTCCAATCAGGTCTGGGGGTCCTGGGGGCCATCTACAGAACGGCAGCTCTCACATCAAGAACCAACTCATGAGTCTGAAGAAATGGAGTGAAGGACATGGTGAGCTAAGAGTTCACCTGAATAGAGAACACATCCTGTGGCCATTTCATTAAACTGTGCTCCCTATTTCATTAATTTTATGTAGGAAGTTGAAGTACAGAGACAATAACCAGTTTTAGTAAAGTTACACAGCTAGCATGGTACAGAATCCTGACTGAACCTGTGTAATGTGGATCCATAGTCCACTTTTCCCAATACAGTATTTCTAGCATAAGGAAATCAAAGAGCACAATGCACCTCCATGCACCCAACTAGCAGCTTCACCAACTATACACTCATGTTCCAGCTCTGTCCCACCCAAGTATTGTCGCAGAACAAGTACTAGACATCATTCATTCCAAACACTGTAGTACTTATTACTGAATAATGATGACACAGATCTAGAAGCCACACCCTCAACCTCCCTACTAAGACCAGGACTTAAAAACCCCATACTGAATTTGGAGCATCACAGGTGACATGCATTTCTGGGGTTCCAGGATCCTGGTAGGGCAGAGCCTACGCATGGAGGACCTATAATGTGGTAGGTGTCTCCATTGAGAAGTCTGTAGAAGGGCAGAGCATTCAACAGAGGGCACTAGGTCGAGAACTTCGGCTACATACTTGAAACAGCCATGGCAGCGCAAGATGTAGCTCCGGGCCTCACGGATCAGCATACCATTCACTGCCAGCACGTGCAGTCCCATCTGAAGCAGGACATTCTGCAATGAGTTACAGCAGAACTAGAGTCAGGACCAAGCCAAGGTTTCTTTGATCACCTGTACAATCACAGTCAAGGAACTCTGCATGAGCCTAGTTTGGCTCATGGAAAATGGAACCAGGACCCAGAGTTCTCTCTTATTCCAAATGCTGGGATCTGTGCGCATCTCTTCACTAAGGACCCTGCCTTTTAAGAGCAATTGCTCATTTCTGGGCAGGAAACCTCTACTTTCCCCAAGAATTTAGTGGAGCCTGGAACATTATTATATAAATTTGATCAGTATGATTCTCTAGCCTCCATGCAAAACTAAAAATTACTTAAGTGCACAGGGAGAGGCTCTATCACAGCAAAAGAAGCATCACACAGTAGCTGTGTATACCCCTCATAACCTCCAAACTCAAGCTTTTTGAAAACTCAAGACTAGCATATGCCTACCCCACCTACCTGCATGGCGAAGTCTGTCGTCACACAGCCCACCTGCACGTCCCTGGGGATGGCACACTGCTCCCACTCCTGCTGGATCTGCTTGACATTGCTGGGGGTTATCCACCCACCCCCATCACCATCACTGTCTTCATCTTGCCGTTCTTCATATTCCTCCTCCTCCTCTTCACTTGGAACATCCTCATCTTTGTCAACCTGAAACATTAATGGATTTCAGAAGCTTTCAAAAGTGTGTTGCCACCAGAAGGAAATCATTCATACATAGGGGCCTTTACCAGCAACTCTTGAAGCTCATGATCGATATTAGGCAAAGGGTTTCTCCAGAACAGGAAGGAACTAAATTCTAGGTCCTCGGGTTTGCCTTCTGGGTGTCCACGTTCTGTTTCTCGTGGGGGTTTAGGCTGAGGTTAAAAGAAAAAGAAATTTATAATCTGAAAAGTGAAAGAGAGATGAAATGCTCTGTGAAATACAGTCTGATCAGACAGGGTAGACTATGTATTAGTCTAGGTAAACCTGGCTCACTGTAAACAGTGTGTAGAGATGTGACAGAAGCAGAAGATGGCACAAAAAGCATGGCTGCCTTACCTTTGAGGGCAGATGGAAACCAGAGACATGTAGAGGCGTTTCTGGATGCTGAATCGATGAGCTCACTTTAACCTTTAAAAAGAAAACAAAAAGTGACAACTCAAAGCAAGGAAATATAATTTGCAGCCGCAACATGGAAAATTAGAAAATAAAACATATTATTCCTCCTGGTTATTTGAAATAATCAGCACTCCAATTTTATTTATTTTTAGGTGTTTTCATTCATTCATTTATGTGTAGGAGAACTGGGATATAGGCCAGAGATACGGAGTGAAAGGATTCACCAGATTTGAGTAGGGAGAACAGGCAGGATTACTGAAATACACTGCTAAGAGGAGCAGCAGGTGAGACAGGACAGGTCTGCTGTGCCTTATGTGGGTCAGTTCCCTAGCCAGGAACTGAACTCACTATGGGTGACAGCACTTAGACTGAACACCTGGGCCACCAGGGAGAACCATATTCTGATTTTGTTTTTAGCTGGAAAATAGGAAAAAGATTATTTATTGACACCAACACTCTGGGACATTTCTTCTTTGTCCTTATATACACAAGCTGTAATAAATGCTACTGTCTGTAAAAATAGAAGTATCTCTTAGGATAGAGTTGCTAGGTCAAAAGATATATTTATATGCTTCTGATATAAATGCCCACCCAAAAGATTACAGAAAAAGCAATTCCAGGAATCACAATTAATGTATATCAAATGAAAAGCAAGCTACCAGTCATACTGTGCTGAGTTTATGTAAAACAATTCTATTCACCCACAATTTTTTTCTACAAACTTCTGGTCTAATGTAGGAGTTCATATTTTAGACATCACTTTTAGACTTCTTGGGCTTAGGGACTTTAAAACTTACTTATGCTGGCCCTCCCTGGTGGCGCAGCGGGTTAAAGCACAGTACTGAGAATCTAAAGCCACTTCCACATCAGTTCGATTCCCGCCTGCCCGGGAGGTGACCACATGGCGTTTCAGACCTCTCCTGACCCACCCGCTGCTCCCCTCAGCAGTGTACTTCGTCAATCTACCTGTTCTGCTCCCCATTCTGTCTCTGGTGAAGCCTCTCACCGCCCCTGAGCCTCTGCCCTATACCCCAGTTCTGTATGCACAAATAAATTAAATCTTAAAAAAAAAAAAAAAAAACTTATGCCATCCCAATAAAAGTCTCAATGACATTCTTCAAAGAAATAGGAAAAAATTGATGAGATTCATATGGAACAACAAAAGACCTCAAATAGCCAAAACTCTCATGACTAAGAAGAAAGAGAATGGAGGCATTACAATCCCAAACTTCAAGCTATACCACAAAGCCATAGTAATCAAAACTGCATGGTACTGGAAAAAGAACAGACATACTGACCAGTAGGTTTGGATAGAAAACCCAGATAATAAACCCACAGGTTTATGGGCAGCTCCTCTTTGACAAAGGAGCAAAGAAGATACAATGGAACAAAGAAAGTTTGTTCAGCTAAGTGGTGCTGGGAAAACTGGGAAACTACATGCAAAAAAAATGAAACTAGATCACTACCTCATACCATACAGAAAAATCAACTAGAAGTGTATTAAAGCCCTAGATATAAAAATGGAAACCATAAAAATACCTGGAAGCAAAGATGGGCCAAACACTACACGACATATACTTCAGTGACATCTTTAAAGATACAGCACCAAATGCAACAACAGTGAAGGCAAGGATAAATAGATGGAACTAGATCAAGTTAAAGAGCTGCTATACAGCAAAAGAGACATTACAAAAAACAAACAGACATCCCACTGGTTGAGAAAAAATTTTCTCACACAAAACTAGCAATAAAGGATTCATCACAATGATATACATAGAACTGATGAAACTCAACAAAAATAAACAACTCCATCAAAAAATGGGCAGGAGAAATGCACAAAATGATGTAAAAATAAGCTGTAATATTATTAAAAAAAAAAAAAAAAAGTCAGAAGAGCTAAAGACACTTCCTCAAAGAGGAAATGCCGATGGCCAACAAGCATATGAAAAAATATTCAACATCACTTGTAATAAGGGAGATGCAAATTAAAACCCCAATGAGATATCACCTCACCCCAGTGAGAATGGCACATCTTCAAACAACTAGCAACAACAAATATTGGCTAGAATGTGGAGAAAAAGGAACTTTCCTGCACTGCTGGTGGAAATGCAAATGAGTACAACCACTATGGAAAACTGTCTGGAGGTTCCTCAAACTGCTAAACATGGAGCTTCCCTATGACCCAAAAGACACAAAAACACTGATTCAAAAAGATACCTGCACCCCCATGTTTATTGCTGCTTTATTTACAATTGGAAAGAAATGGAAACAGCCCAAATGCCCAAAAGTAGATGACTGGGTTAAAAAGATGTGGTACATGGCCCTCCCTGGTGGCGCAGCGGGTTAAAGCACAGCACTAGGAAGCTAAGGCTACTTCCGCATGAGTTCGATCCCCGCCTGCCCCGGAGGTGACCACATGGCGCGGCAGACCTCTCCTGGCCCGCCCGCTGCTCCCCTCAGCAGTGTACTTCGTCTATCTGCCTGTTCTGCTCCCCGCTCTGTCTCTGGTGAAGCCTTCCACCCTCCACATGCCTCTGGCCTGTACCCCAGTTCTGTATGCAAAAATAAATAAAAATTAAAAAAAAAAAAAAAAGATGTGGTACATATATCCAATGGAATAATCCTCATCAAACAAACAAAAATAAATAAACACATGCCTTTTGCAGCAACATGGATGGCGCTGGAAAGATCATGCTTAGTGAAATATTAGGGAATTGCTATTAATTCTGTGTCTGTGTAATAGTGGTCCTATGGTTAGTTTTTTAAAGAGATATATCAAGAAGTATCTATCAGTGAAATAATACAACTTCTGAGTTCAAAATATTCAAGGCCAGTAGTTAACAGAAATGAAAACAGGTAACTGAGGTGGTAGAATTACTGGGACACTGAATTCAGAAGGGACACCCTTCTGCTTTTCTGTGTTTGACAAAAGAAAGGTAAACAAAACAATGAAGCCACCAACAACATTCCTGACAATCGGCATTGGTAGTATAGTGGTGAGAACAGCCACCTTTTGACTTACCTTTTCTGGTTCACGTTTTAGGTGAGAAACTCCTACAAATTCTGCCTCCAATTGGTAGGTGAGTGCCAACACTTGTATATCTGTGGCAGAGAGGCTGGGATAGTCTCCAGTTTTCTTTGAAAACTCAGTCACTGTAACCAAGAGATTTCCAACTTTAGGAGGCAAAAAGTCTCTGGATAACATAATGAAACTTTGAAAAGAACTTAGGATCAGTATCCCCAAGAAAACTTCTTAACACTTTCATTCCTTTCCTGACCTTTTTCTACTCATAGCTGAGCCATTTGTATTCTTGTCCACCAAGGTGAGGTAAGTAAGGTTTACTGGTGTATTTGTAAGGAATGCAGATGACGGAACAAAGGTAACAGAAAGCAACTGAAAGTTAGCATAAATTTGAAAATGAGGGGATTTCCTTAACTAGTTGTAGGTATTGTATTAGGTCTCTTCTCTCCCAGCTCTGAAATTCTTTTAATTCTGAATATAATAAATGCTGTATTATTAGAATGGATAATCAGATTCCAAAATGGAAGAAAAAGGCAATTCTACCACCAACTGTGGTAGTCTATGATAGAACAAAAGTATTAGGTTGCTTTTTAACAAATACTGGGCAGTTTTTGAATATTTAAAAAACAAACACAAACCTTACACCCAATTTAATATATAGTAAATACCAGCTGTGACTATTACTGTTCTCATGAGACTCCAAACATAAACAACTATAATAGCTTTTTAACACCTTTCTTTATTCTACATTAGCATATGGGTAAATAAGTACACCACTCACATTTCCTGAAAAAGCTATAAACAGTGGCCAAAATTTATTGGGCACTTGCTATATGCCAAATCCTGCAAAGTACTAGTAATGTTTCCATAGAAAGATTAATCTGTCAATAATCATACAGATAGCGAATCGGTGGCAGAAATACATGTCTCAAAAGAATAGTGTAGGTGACAGTATCTCCACGACCAGCCACTAAACTTTCCTGAAACAAAGAGGAACTGTCTCAGAACACTGCAGTCTTCCTTGACCCTTAACAAGAAAACAAGGCTGACTCCTAGGTTAAGTGGTAACTAGTTTTCTTTCAGGAATAATGTAAAGCCTAAGAGCGATTCCTTTTTTCTGACTTGAGGTTGGCCTCCATATCCAAAACAATGAAGATACTGTCAAGAAATGGGTAAGAGTAGGAGAATTGGGTTCTTCTATTTTTAACCCAAACAAATTTAATGAATGTTTACAAAGCGGTAGGCGCTATGCTGAATGACATACTCATTTTATGCTTCTAGCAACCAATGAGGTACCAACTATTGATATTTTTATTTCTCAGAACAGGCAACCTGTAACAGGGTGGTCCCTAGGAAAAGGGGAAGTTCCAGGTTCCCTGCCCCATCCAGAAGGAGGGTGGAGCTGAGCAGAGAAAAAGGAGAGAAGAGAAGGGAGAAG